TATACAAGCATGTATCATACATATTCTAGAATGAACGTGTCCATGCATGTGTGACATCATAATTCCATTATGGCGTTTTGCCTGAGCACAGCTGGGATGTCTAGGCATCGAAGCATGTTCAACTAATGCACAGAATCACACTCAAATGGCTGCCACAACATCTTTTCTCATAGCAGATGCCCAGATGGGATAAGATGAAATGAGATTGCTGAGTCAAAAATTCAGAAAAATTAATCTTTCTTACACACTAGAAAAAGACTTGAGAAAAAAAAAAAAAAAAAAACAGGAACAAAATACAAGTTGATTATATATACAAGTGAAAAGAAATGTGGCCAGGAGTGGTGGTGGGAGGTAGAGAAAAAGAAAGGTTAAATGAAAAGGTACTGCAAATGACAAAGTAAAGGAAAAAAAACCCAAAAACAACACATCAATATTCAATCGACCATTAAGGCTTATTAGAGGATAAGAAATGATGATGATAGGAAAAATGAGAAACGTTTTTTTTTCTTTAAATCTAATTTTCCACTTTGTCAGGTCAAAATGCAAAAGAGAAGAAACAGAAAGATAAAACTCATTACTCTCTTACTTTTTGCATCTCTTTTACTTACTATTTGGAAGAAACTACAAATATTGGTTACCTGAAATAGGTGTGTTTAATCAATACATAAAGAGACTGAAAATCAGTTTGTGCAGAGCTGCAGGAGACAATGTGTATTTTCTGTCTCACTATACATTTGTGCATATATATATATATATATATATATATATATATATTGTTTAAAATTTGATATATTTATTCAGGCATGAGTGTTCAGTATCAGGGACAGAGTATTTACAGGTAGAAACAGTGTGGACAGAGGATTCAACACTGTATAGTGAAAGTTTCATGTCTCATCTGGTCTTTAGATCATGACAGTCACCATGCAGGTGAATACCTATAGCGATGACCATGCTATATATATATATATATATATATATATATATAGATATAAAATTTACACCTCTTCAACTTATACAAAACAAACAGTTAATAAAAACAGAATCAAAGACTGCATCAGTCCACCCTTAAAGATGATGTTATGCTACATGAGTAATCTGCAACAGGTTGACCTCCCCACTCTGTGACAGCCAAGACTTAACAGTTGATAGGACTCAAATAATGAGTTAGACTGCCATGTGCTATGTATATATGTATGTGTTTGCAATTACATACATAGCTCACCTACATAGCTCACCTGTGGTTTATACTGCAACTATACTGAGGGGACCATAGTTATAGTTTCTGGGAAAGAGCATATAATCTGCCATGATCAGCAGTTTGAACAATGCCAGAATGCTCAAACCCTTGGTCACGATGACTTGTGACTTTGTGCTAGTACAATCATCATTGGCTTCTGAACAGTTCCATCTATCCAATTTGCATCAACTCAGGGTATGGTTTTCTGACAATTTCCAAAGTTTGCAGAATCTGCTTTCATCTCTGAATACTAGAGTATCATTGAATGCTCCAGATGACATTCTCACAAAATACCATTGGAGTTGTGCATAGCGTGTTATAGCCTAAAGAAAAGTTGGAGGTGCATGCAGCCATAATCCGGCTACAAGTAAATTAACAGTCTATTAACACACTAATCTGTGCTATGAGCACCATGTAATCTGCCACTGTTGTCCATTGATTTTGCTGAGCATCTGTACAATGTGGCATTCCAGAACCTGATCTATGTAAGTCAGAGGTTTAATTTAAGCCAACACTGAATTCCCACAGATGCATGGCATCCAATACATGCACCTTTTCTCCAAAATGAACAGCCACCTTTTTAAAGACCTATAATCTAACCATTCTCAAATTGAATAAAATGAACCCGTGTATCTTGATGATATAACACCTAATTACACTCCAGACTCTTTCACAGTTTGTCTCACCATATCACAATAGCTGCAGACTTTGAAAATGTTATTAGAATACCTATTAACCCCCTACCATAGACATAGAGTAGCCAGGACAAAACCAACATTATCTTCAGAGTGGTGCAATTTTATTTTTCATCAGTGAATATAGTGATAACCTTGACTGACCAGACAGTTGGGTACTAATTTAACTCAGTTGATTTTTGCTGTTTTAACCATTATATATCACAACCACCTGACTAGCAGAGTAGACAGCCTGTTACATTGGTTCCAGCACCAACACAGGGTTTTTATTCAGAGTTATCTATCTTGTGTTGCGAATCAAGGATATATAGCTGAGTCTGCCCTATTATTTAACCCTCATAGAGATGGATTCATCTCTTCCCCAAGAGTATTTGTACAAAAGTTAATGCATCAATCTTAGCTTAAATTTCTTAACATATCAATCCCACATTAATAACAACTATGTAACATTATATATATATATATATATATATATATATATATATATATATAATCTGCTCACAAGAAATGGTAAATCTAAGTAAGTTCTGCAAACAAATCTGATATAACAAACTAAAAGAAATCTCCAGATATACTCTGCTTATATGCTCAAACATATAATATTTGCAAGTAGTAAACCATGCCATGAATTTTAAACTTCTCTATACTTAAACAAATCATTTTTCTTTTGAAGGAATACATTTTGGATCTAATATTTAACTTATAAAATGGAATTGGTTATGCAAAGCAAATTTCAAATGAAACCAAAACTAAAATGAAAGTTACAAAAATGTTATTGTTGCTCTTTTAAATAGACTTGTTAACATTTCATTGTTATTTACAAAGCAGAGATAATTTGTAATTAAAGAATATGTTAAAGTTAAGAAATAATTGTTTAATTTTGCAGGTGAACAATTTTCACCTTTTTTAAGCATTATGGTTACTTTATTAGTAGTAGAAAAATGAGTGTATTAGTAAATAAAATGAAATTATTTGCTATTTTTGCAATGCCAATGTTAAGTGAAAAGATTAATTAGTAACTGAACTTTAAAAAAATACTTTTCATTACCAAATTTGAGAAAAACAGCTGAAAAATACAAAGATATTTTTGAAGTATATTGAAAATAAAAGTTATAAAGATGAAACAATGAACATAATCAAATGAAACATAAACAAGTAAAATTCTTCTTTTTTTTTTTTTTAAACTGATGAAATTTACGAAATATATTAATGCTTGAAAGCATAAAAACTAATTTGGCAAATATACAAAGTTAGAGTTTTTAAAAGAAGAACTTTAAGACCTTTATTATAATGATAATATTGAAACAGTTCATTCAATTCCTAACAAATATTTTACAACAATTAATGGAATGATTATTATGAGATAATACATAAAAAGAACATTTTAAATTTATTTATTTGGCTAAATTGCACACAAAGTCATGAGGCAACCACAATTATTTAATTACTAGTTAAGAAATAAAGCCAACATTTAAGTAATTTTGAAACTGCATTGGTTATATTTTTGGCATGAGCAATTTAAAAATTGTAACTTTGTCATTAACTATAATTTCAAATATAAGAAAAAGAACTAATTTTTTCAATCATTAATACAAATATTAATATAAAAAAGCATTAACAACTTGATCAAAATAAAAATATAATTTACAAGCTGGATGGCACTGATGATGACATTGGCAATATAAGTTTATGAACAATTGGCATAAATATAAAAATGTCTGAAAAATAAAAAATACCTTAAAATAAAATAGAAATCAAAAAACAAAGAAAATTTAATTTATTAACTATATTATAATATGATTATTCATAATCTGATTTCTGTGCTTTTGTTAAAATAACAGCAAAAACAGCACATGATAGCATACTTTTGTCAGCACAATACCATTAAAATGATCTAACTTGGAAAATAAATCAATTTCCAGTTAAATTGGAAACTTAATTGTATGGGTCTGCTTGCTGCAAATTATTTAATATATCAAGGGAGATAACGCCAGCTATAGTAAATACTATTTATAGAGTAGTTTCCCTTATTTATTTGCAACTAAGTATCATATAAATTATACAAAGTGACTTCGCTGTGAACTTAAAGGTTGCTGATAGTGGCCTTTAAATGAATGGATTAAAAAAAAATGTTTTTAGACTGAACTTGATGTTAGTTAACTTTTCAAAAGATTTTTATATACTAAAAGCAAAAGAGAAAATTTTATTCTAAATATAAGATAGTGAAGGCACATAACTTTAATAAATAATTTGACTGCACAAAGAATTTCAAAAATGGTGGTTCCATGTAAAGGATATAGCTTGGCAAATATGACAGTCCCAGAAGTTAGACATTTAAATATATAGATGATCTGGAATTAATTAGGACAGAGCTTGTAGATAGACTGTCATAAGCCAGAATATTTTATACTTTTAGAAAAAGTAACAAGATTCTTTAGTTAATACCTGCATACTACACACTGTATAGGATGGAAAAATGAACTGTAGCAACAAATAAAATAAAGAGACCTAACAAAACATTTCAAGAAAAAAACTCTAAATACAAAAACTATTTAAGTAGTACTATCAGACTACAACTACTAGATTTGTACTAGTAGCATAGTACAAGTAGTCTGAGTACAAGTGGCAGCAGCAGCAGCATTGATAAAAGTGGAAGTGGTAGTTCAAGAAAAACAAAAATGAACCTGGGGAAAGAAATAAAACGAGATAAAATAAGAAATTTAAAAAAGTGTTGCCTCCATGTAAGGTGGAGTTCATTAGAATCCTGTCACAGAACGTGTATTAGCAGAGACTAGGTGCATGGCTGACAGGGTACAGAGAAGCAATGAGCCCAAACAGAGAAGTATAAAACATCTTGGTGTAAAGAATTTTAAAATTAAATGACATTTAGTGAGAATATCAATCTGAGGTGGGAAAAAAAAATACTTGGTTGATATTTTTTTAATTTTGTGGAAGTTTCATGGTCCAAACAAATTTGTCTGATTAGCTTGATAGTAACAAACATTGACTTATCCGTTATGCAATATTTTTTTAAAAGTTATTTTGTAGGAAGGGGAGCAGTAATTTTATTAAAATCTTTTTGATGCCATCACTAGTCTAAACCAACTTTTTAAATATTCATCATTCAAGTAAAAGAAAAAAAATAGAAAGAGTGGAAGAGAGAAAGTGGCAGATGCACGTGAGAGAAAGAGAGAAATAAAACAGATACTAAGGAAAGAAACAAACAAAAACTGAAAAGAGTAAGAAAAAGAGAAATGAAGAGAGAGTGAGAAAAAGAGAAATGGAGAGAGAGTGAGAAAAAGAGACATGGAGAGAGAGTGAGAAAAAGAGACATGGAGAGAGGGTGAGAAAAAGAGAAATGGAGAGAGGGTGAGAAAAAGAGACATGGAGAGAGGGTGAGAAAAAGAGAAATGGAGAGAGGGTGAGAAAAAGAGACATGGAGAGAGGGTGAGAAAAAGAGAAATGGAGAGAGAGAGTGAGAAAAAGAGAAATGGAGAGAGAGTGAGAAAAAGATAGTTAAGGGAGAAGGGAAAATTAAAAAAAAGATTCAGCAAGGAATGAATAGGAGTGATAGAGATAAAGAGAAAACTGAAGTTTGAGAGAGAGAGAGAGAGAGAAAAAAATAATGAAAAAAAAAAGGAAAGTAAGAGTAGAGAGAAAGAAAAAGAGAAAATGAAGTACTGAGGATAGAGAGTAGGATAAAGAAAAATGGGAAACTGAGAGGAGAGAGATAGAAATAAAGAAAAAATGGGAGAGTGAAAAGTGGAGATAAAGAAAAAATGGAAGACTAGAGGAAGAGAAAGAAAAAAAGAAAAAACTGGAGATCAGTGGTACAGAGAAAGAGAGAGAGCAATAAAGAGAAAATGAGAGACTAGTAGAAGAGTGAAATAAAAGAAAGTGAGTGACCAGAAGTGAAAGAGATAAGGAAAAAAAAGTGAGACTGAGTACAGAGGGGGGGGGAGAGAAGAATCAGCAATTTTTTAAATAAATTATGCTTGCAAAACTTAAACTGCATAATTTTTTCAAGTTCAAGCTTTTCTTTTTATTAAAGATTGTTTTTCCTCCTTTTATTAAAAAACACTAATTAGAATGGTTATTTGGTGCAGCTAAAGTTAAACTAGTTTTGATATTTACTAATAGAAAAGAAGAGGAATATGTAAGAGAAAAGTTTTTTTTAAAATCATATTAGACTATTTTCTGGAGACTACTTAAATCTTTTTCCAATAATGTTTTGTTGTATACTTAAGGAATATTATAAAAATACTTTTTCTTTCAATAAAGTGATCAGGGTAGATGATATATTTGCTCAAATCTAAACATTAAGCTGAAATTCTCCATTAAAATCTCATGAAACAAATGACAGAATAGTGATGAAGGCCTAAGTACTGATTAACATTAAATGCTACATCATTCTTAAATAGTACTGATGAGTAAGCTTGGTACGTACCAAATTAACAGAGAAATTGTTCTTAAATTATTTTTAAAAAGTCAAAGCAATGTAATAAAAAGCTAATATCCATTTCATTTTGTATCACAAATTAGATTTATATATATATATATTATATATATATATAAATAAAATGTATGTATATGTGTGTATTAAAGGAAAACGCAAACCACTAGTGGAACCAGGTGACAATTTACCAAAAGTCCTAAAATACCCTTAAACAAGATAAAATCTCAAAAGTACAGCAAAAAGAAAAAAAACCTAAAGGCAAACACCTACTTACTCAGTAAAGTGCTCAATGCCTAGATTACCTAGACAGAGCAAAAATGCTTGACGACATTAATTCTTATAAAAGGATGGCACTAGTCATAGTAACCTAAGTTCCACGCTCACACAATCTTCAGACAACTTGAACATGTATAAAGGTCCATCCTTTATATATATATATATATATATATATATATATAGCTTCAAACATTATTATAGTGGATACTTCGTATTTGAAATAGATGCCTCATTTTTATTTATTAGACAGTGTGTATTATGTTTATTGGCCTGTACATTTGAGAAATCCTAGTAAATAAAATCCAGTAGGGATCAGACTAGTGTCTCCCTTTGTAGGAGTTGCTTGCTGTGTTGTTCTTCGTGGACAAGTGTTAAAACACACTGTATCAAAAAGTGGTACTACTACTACAAATGGAGGCTTGGGTTCAATCCCTGCTTGGAAACATATTTTCTTTACTAATATTTCTCAAATGCACAAAGCAGGTAGATATACATAATACAAAATATTTAATAAATAAACATGGGCTTCTATTCCAAATATGAAGTACCGTCTATAATAACATTTGTAATAATAAATAGATGGTGGATTATTCATATATATATATATATATATATATATATATATATATATATGTATGTATGTATGTATGTATGTATGTGAGTGCGTGCGTGCGTGCGTGCACACACACAGAGTGTGCGATGGGTAAATTGTCGCCATTTTATATTTTACACATGTGCATTGTTTGTTTATGATTTTGTTGACTGCACAGTATACTAAGATCAGTTGGGCGCCGTCTGTGAGAAAATGGGCACCATGACACAATTCATTCCTCCAGGCGTTTGCTGGAAGCTCCAATATGAACATTTCAGAATGTTTGGGTGTCAATCTGAAGACAGTGCAGAGGATCTGGAAAGAGTTGCATGATATATCCAGTCAACATTGTGGTGTTTGGAGTGATCACGATTAATGGTGACATTATGTCTCCATTCATCTTCCTCAGACTCCTAAATCAAGTACTTTGAGGAGGTAGCGCTACCCTTGGTCAAGAGGATAGCTGCTGGAAGACCCTATGTCTGGCAACTGAACTCTGCACCATGCCACACAAGCAGAAGAACCCTGCCATGGCCATCAGACAATTTCTGCAACCACATAACACCTTACATTTGGCCATCTAACTCCCTATAGTGAAACTCCCCCTTAACTATTATGTGTCAGGCACAGTTAAGCAAGACACCAACAAAACTCCTTGTAACACCAAAGATGAACTGAAGGCAAGTAATATGGCAGCATTCACCAACTTAACCAAGGAGACCATCCAGAAGAGTTGCTGGAGATTCCAAAATTGTCTGGAAGCTGTGGTTGAAGCTAATAGTGATTTTATTGAATAAATTTACTCTTTAGTATTTCAAGATATTTTTGTGTAATTTTGGTAAGTATGAGAGGCATGGTGGAGTAATGGATAATGGTTCAGATTGCAAAATTGGAGAGCTGAGTTTGAATTCCATTCAAATCCACTACATTCACTTATGTGCTGATATCCTTGGGTAAGGTATGATTCCTCTTCTTCTCCCACCAGCTATGGGTAAGTAGCAGGACAGACCAGGTTCTACAGCCTTGGACGGAAACTGGTCTACCACAGAAAAAAAAAATCTGCCTTATCAGTCATGTATCAAAAGATACATGATCGCTTAAGCATGTATCATACATGGCATATAACTGACTGACTTTGGTAAATATATCAGTTAAAATGAGATGTCAGTATTATTTTCATTTTTGTGTAAATTAGATGACAATTTATCCATCGCACCATATATATATATATATATACACACACATACACACAAACACAAACATTTATGCACACACACACACACAAACACAAACATTTATGCACACACACACACACACACAAACACAAACATTTATGCACACACACACACACACACACACACACACACAAACATTTATGCACACACACACACACAAACATTTATGCACACACACACACACACACACACATATATATATATATATATAATAGGTCTGTAACAAGTAAAATGCAAGTGACAATAATTATTTATATTTTGAGAAAAAATATATATAAAAATTACCTAATTAAATACTAAAAATAAATAAGAACACTTTATGCATATTCAAGTCTATATCAATACATGGTTCAACGAATAGCTAATTACATTAGATTGTAGCCCTTTGTAAATATTTGCAAGACAACGAAGGTATTTTAGTGTTGGCAAAGAAAAAAAAAATGGAAAAGTAAAATTGATTTCTTTCTTTTCCGTCATGTTTTATCTTCTCCTTCTGATAAGTTTTAAATAAAAAAGAAAATGGAATCAAAAAGACTAAGAGAAAATAACCACAGAAAGTTTTAATTTGCTAAGCACTTTATTAAAGAGTATTATTTAGTGCTGTTGTCAACCACCATTTTATCAAAGGCTAACGAACCACTTTCTTTCACCTAGGTTTTTCACAATGAATGACTCACCAATACCAATTTCCTTATAAAGGAAATACAAATTCTAGCCCATTAAATCTTTCAGGAAGAGACACGTTGTTAATTAACAAGAAAATATAGGCAAGATGGATGTAACAAAGTGATAGAGGAAAAAAAATTATCGCTGTAGTAGTAGTAGCTATATCAAAGTTATTTTTTTTTTAAATCAATTTTTAATATCCCAACTCTAACCATAATACCAAGACAGAAACTTGTAAATTAAAAAGAAATGTAGCAATTAATTTCACTGAGGTAGAAGGGGGAAGGAACTTGTTGAGAGCTGAATGGGATAGAGGGAGGTGGAGAGCCATGATCGCCTATGTCCTGTAAGGACATGGCACATAAAAAGAAAGAAAAGAGTTCAATACTGAGAGACAATTGTCTGTTTCATGCTTGAACACAATCCTCAGGCCCGAGGATTGTATTCAAGCATGAAACAGGCTGACGCCATTCAGTGTTGACCTTAATATCCACTTTTATATTTATATATGCTCTCTCTCTCTCTCTGATATTGACCACACTCCTCTTAAAAACAACACAAAAATAAAATACAACTTATAGCTATATATTAACACTTTGAAATGGATGGTGTAAAGTATGTGTTAGGATAAGTAATTTCTTCTCTGAACACTTGGGGCATGTGTTTGTGTTTACATCCACACATGCATATCCACATATAAGAATTAGATTCAGCAATATTTTACTATTCAAATGCATTATCAGATACACTTTACCATGAAGACAAACTAACACCACCAAAAATAACCTCCCCTTGAAAATGGCTAAAGAAATGGCCAAAAGCACTTGGAACAATGACAATTATGGAAAACTTTTGTACTCCCTTACTCCTACAAAACAGAAAAAAATAAGGATGCTGGAAAAACTAAATAAGAAAATGTTGAAGCTTAAATAAGCATGGAATAATACAACACAAAATGTACGTTAACAAAATGTATTGAAACAAAGAATAGGTACACAATATTTACAGTTAGTTTGGTATATTCTTGGGAAGACTGTTCCTGCATAATGGGTTGACTAAATCGCAGTCGGGCAGAGTCTCTGGATTCAATTTCTTAATCTCTACTATCTTCCCCGTCTTCCGGTACCAACCCATATTTATATGGTCGGTAGTCCGCTTATGTAAATTAGGTGTATCATACACAACAGAAAATAATTAAAATCTTCTTTGTCTGTCGTATTTAATGAAAGACATTTAAAAGAAAGAAAAAATTGCCATCCAAATATACATTAACACACACGTGTGTGTGTGTGTGTGTATGTACTGATAGTAAATATCCATGTATGCTCCTCAGATTATTTAAAAAGTAATGACTAAGATATTCTTTAAATATGTTTGTTTTTTTTATTTGTTGACATGCAGGATTCACAGTAAAATATATAACAAGCAATGAAGAACGTGACAGAAGTAACCAAAAAATTTTGTAATTTCCAAAATCTATACTGTGCTCCTAACTAAATAAAAGGTATAAAAAATATGAAAAACTATCTTAGTCATCACTATATATATATATATATATATATATATATATATATATATATATATATATATATATATATTAGAGAAAGATAGACTATTTCAGGAAAAATACTTCCTCTAACTTTTATTAGATGACCCAAAGTTAAGCTATGGTTTCAGGGCTGAAATATAAGTAGTAACCGCAAGGCAATTCATAAAAAAATTTCCCATACTGTTTAAATTTTCTCTTTCCTAGACATAAAACTTATCTACTTATGACATTTATCTACATGTACATGAAGAGACATACACACTCATATATATATAAAAATTCATTTAAAATAACTTGGTTATGGTAAAGTGGATTTGATAATGCGTTTGAATAGTAAAATATTGTTCAATCTAATTTTTATGTGTATATGTATGTGTGGGTGTAAACACAAACACATACTCCAAAGGTTCAGAGAAGAAATTACTTACCGTAACACATACTTTACACCATCCACTTTAAAGTGCTAATATATAACTATATGTCAAGAAGATACTATTATTTACCATTATATAGTAATACTATTATGTACTATTCTATACTAAAACTAATATATAAACTATACATTAAGATAATGATCACAAACAGTGGGGGGGCTAAATTTCATGCATATATGAGAGAGAGAGAAAGAGAGGAAGTTTGGTATACACTAATTTTAATATATGTCCCACTGACCAAGATCTTTGAAACATATGTACACAAACACAAAAATCTGCAACAAAGACACGTCAGGTATAAAAGGTTAATGTTTATTCACTGTACTTAGATTTTAAAGGCATTTGTCAAACTAAAAGAAAGAATATTTTGCTTTAGTTTAAAATCAGTTTCTATAATGAAATAATAATCAGTTTTCTTGTATAATAATTAGTTTTCTGATAATGAGTTAGGATAATAGGCAATACAACACAAAACCTAGCAGCCAGCCCTACTGCAGAAATAAAGTTGAAGGTTTTTAAACAACTGAATGTTAAATATTTGAAAACTATTCCATAAATGTGAATGCATATGTACATGTACACTAAAAGAGTGTAACTGAAGAAAAAAATCAATTGCAGTAACAAACAATACCTTAACAGTTCTTCTGTGAAGAGTGTTTTAGAGACTATATGTGGCTGCATGCTGGTAACTCACTTGGGAAGAGAGTAGAAATAAAAAGTTATATTAAAGAGGGCATTTTTAACCAAAGTGATTGAAACAGCTAACATCACTTAAGGATTACCCACACTTTCTTTCTTTCCCTATTGAACAAAAAAAGAAAGAAAATAAAGAAGCCTCAGTTTATAAAAATGTAAACACTATTTTTCTCTCCTCTTTATTTTTTTATATTGCTACTCATCTATATTTAAAAAAAAAAAAAAGAAGAAAAAACTATGTTGATGATGGCAAAAATCCAAAGGGTAAATACAAGAAAGGTGAAACCTTCAGTTTAAACTAAAAGAATGTATTTTATTTTTATATTAAGCTATTTTAAAACTGCTACATAATTTTTTTATCGAATTGACAAGAGAAAAAAGAAAATATCTCTTAAGATATCTGCAATATGGTTAAGATTAACCAAGTACTTTTTGTATCTACACCACAAAATGTTAATAAGTTTTAAAAAGTCAGCATAAAAAAATGAATAAAAAATAAGATTTTTTTTTTTGCTTAAGGGTAAATTCATAAATGAAATAATAGTAATAATAATCCTACCTACTGATATATATAAAATGATATAATTTAACTTATATCAAGAACAGAATTTAATAAAATGCTCAGTAGATATCTAAAGTAATATTTATTGTATCAAAAATATGAAAAGTTCAGGATAATTATCAAAAACTAAAAAACTTTACGTTAGTCTTCAATAAGTATCCTGAATATTTTTATATTTTTGATATAATAAATAAAATTATATACAGATATATAGATTTGTAATTTACAAGCAACTAATGGATATTTTTAATCCAACATTATTTCTTGTTACTGGAAACATTATATTTAGTGAGTACATGTGTTTAAGTAGACAACTATGTTTTTCTTTTAGTTTTTTTTTTTAAATATCTGCTGACCTAGAGAATGAAAGTCTTACTAAAGAAAATATGCCTCCCAACAGGAAACAAATATATATTCCCTTCTTCATCTGGCAAACCACTGTGTCAAGAAGTAAAATTTCCTTAGTAAGACTTTTGATCTTTAGGCCGGTAGAAATTAATTTCATTGTCTTTTTTTGTTTTGTTTTTTTAAAGAAAAAAAAAGAACAGAAAAACGTCTCCACAAACATGTGTACCCACTGAATATAACATTTATAGTAATAAGAAATAAAGATTTTTACAACCTTAGTTTTAAATTTGAATGGATTAAAAGTGGTCTTGATATAATGAGCTTGGCCTTAACTACAGTTTGCTAGATAAATTGTATTCCATAGAGAAGAGGTTTTACTTTCAATATAAATCAAGATCACAAAAATAACAATGTTTCTAAAACCTTCATCCTTTTGCCTTTTCTATAAATCTATATCTGGGTCTCATATATCTCTCAAATTAAAGTGATAAAAATATTCAAAACCTAATCCACTTCTCTAAATCTAATCGAATATTAAATTGAAGTGCTTCTTTGTCAGGGAAAGAAATTTTAAAATCTGTACAAAAATATAAGAATAAAAATAATGATACCCAATTGCAAGTTAAGGTCAATTATTCATAATTCACTTCCCAAAAATTCCCAAAGTATGTGAAGATCAAAAAGCAGATAGAGGAGAATAGTCTAACTGAGATCTGCACAAAATATGGCCGATGGACCACATGTGGCCCATGAGATTACCCAGTCTAGCTTGCAAGAGGTTTTCAAAATAGTAAATTATTTCTGTTCATCAGAATAAATTCAGCAACTAATCACATATGAAAATCTCAGTTTTCTTCATCACAACTTTACTCAACTTTCTTTTAGCTAATTAAGCCTTTTAACACTCTACAGGAAAAGAAAAAGAAAGAATTTTCCCACCATCCCTTTCTCTATATCTGTTTATATCTCACTTATACTCAGTAAATTACTCTTGTGGTCTGTGGCTAATTTTCTGCAATCAATGATGCCTTTCACATATTTTTATTTGTGTAGGCCTGGTCTAACTTTTCTTTTAATTGAAAAAGAAGCTGCTGTAAGAAGAATGGGTGTCCAGTGACCAGGTTTTTATAATTTATTACCTGTTCAGAAGCGTTAACTGCTGCTTACCTTAAGGAAGAAAAACAAACTTTTATACACAGATGGAAAAAGAAGAAAAAGAATGCTTCAGCCAAAATTAGATAGTAATGTTGGAAAGAGTAATGACCTCCATGATTTATTAGGCAAGTTGAATCGATGTGCAGGTTGTATGGTGAGTGAGTACCTTGAGCCCCACTGATGGTAGCCACCAGGCAGCAACTAGTTTTGAGTAGAATAGTGATGGAAGACTGGGACCCAAAGTGAAAATTAGTGATTTACAGAGTTTATATAGCCAACAAGAGAGGAAGGAAGTGGCAACAAGGGAAGTGTACATTTGATACTGATCAACACAGCTTGAAAAGATCTTGCTGAGAAGACAGACAGACAAATATTGACCCCCAACAGACAAGCCAACATAGGATCAACTATCATAGACACCAAATTAATGGGTATGGATTTATTACAAGTAGAACCATTCCATGGCTAATTCCTGCTAATCTAGACACATTTCTTGTGAGTCATATGATTTGGTAGACAATATTCAGTTAATAACTCAAAAATTAAATGGTCTTAATTAGAATAAAACTTAAACAACTATACAAGTCAGAAAGAGAAAGAAAGGCGATTAAGACCAAGAAAAAAAATAGAGACATGGGAAAAATAGTCTGAAGTAGTAACTGGACAAATATAGTTTCACAAGTGTTGTATTTGTAAATAATTTTTTTTTTTTTGGAGGGGGGGTAAGGGTTGAAATTGTATTTTTAATGACCAATTAAAAAAATAGCTCAATAGCCTAATTATTTTAAGTTTTTCCAATGAATAAAAGCATTTAAAGAAGATAATGAATGCCAAATTACAATGACAAAGATGGCGATTTTCTTTCATTTTACTTTAAAGAAATATTTATAAGGCATGCAAAAATATTACTAATTAGGACTGATTTGCTTATAAAATATACTTGTAAAATTTATTAGCTAATTCTTTTTTTTTTAATCCCCACCAACAAGAATGTTTTCCCAAGTGATGCTGCAACAGACAGCATCATATTTGATCAGACATTGAATACATGTCTAAACATACATAGACTGAAACAAGAAGGCTGTCACTTAAGACTACATTAATGTTTCATATTCTTTTCTAATGACTTGAATTTAACTGACACTAAGAGTATTTCATATGAAAAAATATTTAAACGATCATTTTTACTCTTCTTTTTGTTTTTTGTTATATTAAATAAAATTCAATTCTTTATTGGTATAAGACTTTTGCAGGAAATAAGAATTATCGTTACAGGATTTGAGAAATCTATTTTTCTGAATAATTGTTTTAATAGAAAGATTTTATAAATTTCAATGGAAAGTAACATTGGCTGTTCACTCAATGAATGCCAAATGTTTCCTTATAAGGAAACAACTAATATTACTATTAAACATGAAGAGAACAATTATTATTCTTTGTTCCCAGCCTCAAAGAGTGAAGAACAGCATAACTTGAGTAGCACTAGCTATTCAGTCAATGAATGCCAAATTTTTCCTTATAAGGAAATGGTTAATATTACCATACTGCCTTTTCACTTAGTAACTGCTTACTAGAAATCAAGTGACAGCAATCCCACTCACCACACTATTTTAAATGATTTTAGTAATGCTCTTGTCTGGATAGTTTTAAATTCCGCTTCAGGTTCCAAATCTCATAACCTCTTCAACTCTTTGGAACTGTTTCAAATAATGATAGATATATTTTCTTTTTTTTTTTTTTTCAATTCTTCCAAAGGTCGATATATCTTATGAGTTTTTCGCTTTCAATTTTATAGTTACTCATTATCATCCATTATCTGGCAAATCATCTTTTTGTCATCATGCTGCTTGAATTTTACTCTCTGAGACAGATTATGGTTTATACCTGTGGCATTTGTTTACATAAACCATGAAGATTACCAAGAGGCATATGTAGAAAGCCAGAGAATTTACCAGCTGAAACAGTGTGATCAAAAAAATGAAGTTCAGGATGCTGGTCCAAAAAGCATTCAATTCCAAAGTTTCAGGTAATAATTTGGAATTATTATTTATTGCATTCTATGAATTTGTGACATTTTTTTATTTCCCCAGACACATATTACCATATTTATATTCTAGCACATTTTAATATTAACCATTAAAATAAATTTTCAAGTGAATTATTTCAAACTATCTTCAGAGAATCAGGATTTGAGCATTTTACTAAATTATTAATTTGTACCAAAATAGTGATGGCAAAAATACTGATATTGTCCTAATTCATGACAAATTTTTAATACATATTTTAAAAAATAAAAAAATAAGCAAAGGACTTCAATTAAATGGCTAAATTTTATTTAAATACTAAAAATTTTGCATGATAGATTTAAAGACTCATGTTATATAATCAAAAATATTTGTTTTGTTTTCCTAACATTAATAATAATAATAATAATAATCTACTTCATAACAATCTGATTTCTGCATATTTATGTATCTTTTTACTGTAGCATAGTAAAAATTAAAAAAAAAACACATTGTCATGCAACTTTTGTTAGTATAATACTGTTAGAAGATTATAAATTGAAGAATAAAGCAATTTCTAGTTCAACTGGGTCATAAATCATTTTAAATATAAACTGTCAAAGGACGACAACTCCAAATCTATTAACTACTAATTACAAAGTTGTTTCCCTGATTTTTCTTAATAAGAAACTATGAGAAATAAGCAAGAAAGAATTGTTGATTTGTCTGCACTCATCCCTCATCAGCCATAATGGTGTTGGTAATTTAATAATAATTAAACTTAAGTGATAATTAACATTTTCAAATAAAAAATAACTTATCAAGCAAAGGTCACCAAAAGCAACAATTAAGTGAGTGTTCATAATGACAAGAATGGATATCTTCAAAGTTCATTCTAATAACAGTCATCATCATCATCATTTCATGTATTTGTAGATTTTTACATCAGAGGTTTTGTGGCTGTCATTGGTGAATAAAGTGAAAGCATCTTGCCCAATATTTTTGTTGTCTCACGTATATTATGATCTGGAAAGTTTCAATCTACTGCCTCCAATATTACCATGAGTATTTTTTGGAGGACTGTTTCAAGTGCACCATATATGATAGGCATAAGCCTAAGCACAGCCTCTTCAGTTGTGTGGTGAGGTCCTGGTGTTTTTTCTGTCTTATCACTATGTTTTATGTTTTTTCTGCATTATCACTATTTTATGTTTTATGATTTTTCTGCATTATCATTATTTTATGTTTTTTCACCATTTTCAACTCTGTTATCCACTGAAACAGTAACATCTATGAACTATATTGTTTTTTATTAGTTTATTATTATTGTATGCATAGTCACACATATTTTGATGATTGGATGACAGCAAATCTCTAAAAATCTTCTGCACCATTCACAACATTCTTGCAGACCCCAACAACGCCAAGGTCTGTACAGTCACAAATCTACCACAGATTTCCAACTCATCCAATCTAGATATTGGCATTTTTGAGAGCATTCCAAGTGCACCTCCTGTTATTAACATGATTATAACTTTCATATTCCATAACTTAAAGAGTTCCCTGGCAAGGTCCTGGTGTTTCTTTATTTTCCCACTCTCCTTTATATTCACTCTCTGCTTCTACCAACACACCTATGTCTACAATCTGGCAGATTATTTTTTACTTATTCACAATTATTAAATCTGTTTTTTTTTTTGTTGTTGTTCTTTTTTTTTTTTATTACTTCAATAGGGCTATTAATTCTGGAGTCAAACCCCCAAAGTATTCTCCCTTTCTAAAACAGTCTCTGATTTGTGCTGATATCATTGGTATAAATGGTTGAATGCAAGTTATTTGCACGGTTCCTGGCATATGACTGTTGCTACTGTATCATGCATTCATTTGTATGCCTTTGGACAAGCTTGCTACATTCAGTGATAACTTTGTTTTTTCATCTCTTTCTCTTCTGAAGTATTATCTGCTATTTTTCTGGGCTTTGTCAGTCTTTACTTTGAGACTGCCCTGATGCACCTGTTATGGGCTGCTATGATGAAGAATTCTGTTTCTCTCTTTAGGTTTTCTTCATGTTCACAATTTTTTGTCTGATATTCTCTCTTGAATTCTCTGTACAAGCTTTTTCTTCTTTTTCCATCTCATTACTTTTTGCATTCTACACATCTTTACATTTTTTAAAAAATTGTCATCACACTGTTTCAGGTATTTTTTTTATAACATTCTCATTGCATATATTTATCCATGTTTACTTTAGTTATTTGGACACAGTCTGTTCTCTACTATTGACCTTCCTTTTAAAATATAATCTGTGTCATCTTTGGGGTGTAATGCTTTGTGCATGGTTTTTAGATTCCAGGTCTGTCAATCCACTAAGTTTCTCTTAGTTTTTTTTTAATCAAGCAGACTATTTCATGCATTTGTCTGTTTACATGCTTATTTTGGAGACTGAAAGTAAGTTTCTCCAAATCACCAATACCTTCCTCAGCATCCATATAGATCAAAGCACTGTCTGTCGTGGTTTGGACAGTTTTAATTTTTATCAAATTTCTAATATATCAAATCTTGATTTCTAGTCTTTTAGACATAGTTCCAACTATAGGTACTACCATAATCTTCATGTTATACAGTTTTCTCTATTCTTATCCTAAGTGGGGTTTAGATATTTTACCAATTATTCACCTTTTGTTTTCCTTCTGTTCAAGTAACCATGCAAACACATTGGTACATCCTTTCATTCAGTATTTATTGTAATAAATAATTAAATATAATACTATTTCTACTACTACTACTACTAATAATAATAATAATACTGGTATTTATCTTAATAAATAATTATCCTCTTTTCCCTGATTAATGAGTGCAGCTTTATTATACAAGTCTCAGTCAAGTTTCTCAAATAACCTATTCTGAGCTAGTTTCAGAGGAAGAACTTACCTCCATAACTGATATAATCACTCAATTCAAAAAGCTCTTTTTGTCCTAAACTTCTTGCTTGAATGGGGTGATCAATTTGGATACCTCAAAATCATGAGTACCATATATATATATATATATATATATATATATATATATATATATATATATATATATTTTTTATGATCAGTTTTTGACACAAAAAATAGGGCAGCACTATACAGAGGTAATTTTTTTTAAAGAGTTTAAAATTCATGCATTTTCAGTTAGAAATTGCACTATACACAGGTAAATTTTTTTCCAAGGAAGTTAAAATACGTGCAAAAAAACAAAAAAAGTTCAGGAATAACCCTATATATGAAGTCAGCTTATGCACTAGTATATATGGTATCTTGTTAATTTTTTTATTTTTCTAGAACAGTAACTAGTTTGATTACTATTATTACTGTTGGTGTTGTGTATATTCAAATATACTATGAAATGTTAATTTAAAAACTTATGAAAATGTCCAGAAATTTTTTTCCTCATTTATCAAACATTATAAGAGCTGCATTGTAAATTGTGGAGACTTATATAATAAACACTTTAACAGTCAATTTATAGACAATATTATATCAAAGAAATTAAAAAAACTAAGAAACAAAGCTATATACCTTTATAGCTGTTCTTTATGAACAATTCATATAAATAAAACACAATACTTGCATATACATAAAGCATGA